AGCCGAGGATGAGCTGCACCCTAGCTCACGGTGGGGTTCGCGGCCTTCCCCCCTTTTTGCTATCTCTGTGTACAGAGGTGCCGCTTCAGGCCCTCGTGCCACACACTTATGTTGCCTTAATCACTTTCCGATCACAACTCTGATCACTCACGCTGAGCCTTATTATATATACTATCCGTCACGTCAAAGAAAAAAACTAAAGTATGTGATGAAGGCACTGCCAGGAATCGAACCTGGGTTTCGAGAAATCAAATGGAATCAGAATCTCGAGTGATAACCGCTACACTACAGCGCCAATAAAAAACTTTGGTTTGTAAATCCTATCAGATACGATCGGTCGAACAGTCCTCGGATCAGCAGACAATGCAGTCCTCCTTGAAACTCAAATTATACATCGTCTTATCTACTGTCTTCTCAATTTTCTTCCAATCCGACCGTCGCTGGATGAACTCGTAGATGTCCTGTTAACGTCGTCAGCATCCATGACAGAACATTGGAAAAAAGCAGCACACCTCGGGTCTGTAAGCACCACCATACCGCGTTACATCACGAACGATCTGCGCGAGATCCTTAGCATCCTCGACGACGTATACATGACCCAGCATCTTCAAGTGAGAAAAATCCGAGATGATCGATGCAACCTAACAATATTTGGTAGAGTGAACGAAGAATTGACGATCTACGAACCTTGAGAGATGAAATGAAAGTATAATACGTGTTCAGATCCGCAATTACACGGAACCCGCCATTCAGCGAGATGATCTGGCGCTTGATGTGTTTCTGCAGAACGCTGTAGCAAGTAACAGTGCATGAGAAACTTTCATCTTCTCGAAAGATACGACAGCTTACGCTATAAGCCGAATGCCAACCTCCTGATAAAAGACCTCGAGCACCTCCTTGCTTGTGCTCCCCTTCAGCAGATTGCAGTGCGTCTCCAGGCATTTGATCGCTTCAGTACACCCACGCGTAGGTCCTAAATCCAATGGACCATCATCAGGATAATACTCGCGTGGTCCTGTTAGCGTCACGAGAATGTGCTCTACCTAGGGTAAACGTTGAGCCGCACAACCCAGGAAGGAGGTTGGTAAACATCTGAATGTCACGTACTTGATTCATGAGAACCTCAGTACCCGCGTTCAGCCCACCTGCGACAGAATCGTCCAATGCGTTTTCGAACCGCTTCTTCTCCCGCACAACAGCATTGAGGAAGTCTGTACGATCAATGTGATGTGCCTTAGACCCATATTCAAGCATTTGTCACGCGAATCAAAGAAACTAGAGGACGCACAAGCTCTTTGTCGAAATATACCTGGACCATCGACTGTATAGTATCACCAATATGCACCAGCTCGAAAAACTGCAGCAATGGCGCGACACTCGTCGTCACCTCATGCTCTGCAGGTTTATACTCCCGCATCTGCTCCGTCGCTCTGGAATTCTCTGCGTCAGTATCAAGTTTTGACCAAATACAACAGAAGACCGTACTTGGCAAACCCCTTCCGGAGATGCTCATCACCAAGCGCTCCGAGCATGAGGATGAACAGCTCCTCAATGGTGTCTCGGACGCGGTGCCCATAGTGCCCCGGATATCCTGCGAACGTCTCGACGCGCTTGAGCGCTTCGCGATCCGCGTGAATCACTTCGAGCGCCACGTCGAGCGAGAGGAGAAGCTCGAGCTTGTTCTCTGGTACCGATGATGCTGACACGAGCGTCCGTGGCGTAGCGGCGGATGGAATAGTCGGGGAAGGGGACAGTCGTGAGCCTACGCAAGTGGAATTGAGTATCGATAGCCGACGTGGATAAATCGAGATGGACATACCACTCTGCGTAGTCGGTACATCCAACTCCTTCCCATCGCCAACCTGCGTTTTCTCATCCTCATCCTCGTCGGCATCTCCAACCTCAAACACTGTGCTTCCCTCTGCCTCTGACGTCTTGTACACACTCCCGTTCCCACGAGCTCCCGCATCAGCCCCCCACCCCGTTCTGCTGACTCCACCACTATACTTCCCGGCACCGCCACTGGGGCCCCCTACCCATCTTGTAGGATTCAGCATCGCGATACCCTGAACAGCAGCTGTACCACCGCTGACGATTGCCCCGCCGACTGCGCCGACGGTACGTGGTACTATCGTCACGGGAAGGAGGAGGACGGAGGTAAAGGACGCTAGGACGTTCCGCTTGACTTGAGCGGGATTTTGGGAGGTCAGGAAACGGGGCTGGGAGGTGTGTTGTTGGTGGTACTGGTGTGTTTCGACGGATGTGGATAAGGAAGCCGAGCCGTTTGCTGATGGGAGAGCGTATGTTGCAATCTGCTGTGAGGTTGAGCGGGAGGTTTGGAAAAAACAAGGGAGTGCTGACTTCTAGATCCCAGGCTTTACAGATCGTGCTCAGGATGTTCTTGACGGATTCGATTTCCTCATCAAGGTATTCGTCCATGTTACTCTCGAACATCTGATACCTGCTTCCAGTGAGGAACGTAGCTCGTGGGAGGGATGTCACTCACACGACGTCTTCGGCGTTCGTAGAGGTGGTTATGTCTTCTGGTTTGACAACACCCTTGTCCCGAGGTGCTTGTGCTACGCGCGTCAAGGCTTCCACTATACGCCAAGCCTCCTTGAACGACGCAGCGGTTGCTTGGAGGAAGATGGAGGAGTTCGTGCCGGCGCGTGCGCGTGTTAAAAGAGCAGTTATGTATTCTCCGACCTATATAAAATGAGCGGTAGGATAAAGGTAGAAAGCAAATAAACGTACCACGTCATTAGCGACGCGTTCCGCGAACGAAACTAGGACTTGAGCGGCTGGCGGAAACACACGAACAGCGCGCGATCCATGTTCATCAATAGCTTTCAACACACCTCCCATAAACTCATCCATCGCGTCAAAGTCCAGTGTGCCATCAGCCCTGTCAAAATCCTGAGTTCCAACCCGCGTGCGAAGCCATCCAACTTACGTGAAATTAGCCAGAGGGTCCCATTGGCCCTGTACATAAAATATTTCTCGCTTCTCGGCCCAAACCTTTCCCATTTCCCATTCTGCTGCGTTCCCAGTCCACACCTCCCAACTAGACTCTGCAGCTTCTCGCATACCCTCCTCATCTCCGCGTCCATCTGCAGCATCAAATGCCGCGAGAAGCCCCGCGTCGAACCGATCCATCGCCGTCTGTAGAGCCTGCCGAAGGGTATCCCATGAGCGAAGCGGCTGGACAGCTGGCGAGAGGAATAGAGCGAGAAGACGCAGAGCTTTTGCGCGCGTTCGTAATGGCAGGCCATCGACCTGATTCTGCGGAGCGGACGACGTGCGGGGGGTTTGTGGAGATACAAAAAATGTGGAAAGGGTCGACAGTATCAGGTGAGGAGGTGTTGAGCGTAATGCCAGCGCAAGAGGCTTCAAAAGATTGTGTGCTCGGACATATGTCGTCCGTTTCGCTGGTGCAATTGGATATGACAGAGAGATCGGAGGCGGAATACCCGATCCGGCGACAGGCTCTGCTGTTGCAAAGTCACCAAAGTCATCGTCGCTGTACACAGAAATCATCGGCGGTCGCATGGAACGCGTCACTCCGAGTTGGCCCTTTTGCGCATTTTCCAGACCGTCGAGCACACTTTCGAGACCGTGTTTCTCTATTCCCAGTGCTAACCATCTAGTATCCCAGAATTTGTCATCCTTCACTAAGGAGTTAAGTGCTCTGGAAGAGCGTGCGTATGCTGGAACATCAGCAACTGGGAGAAATGAGAGAATGAGCTGATGTAGGTCTGCTGGTAATCGTCCGATGAGGGCTGCGGACGGACTGTGCTTGGGCACGACCGTTCCGCTGCGCAGAAGGCGAGCGCCAGAGGAGGCATACAGACGGACGGGCTCGAGCGTCGCAAATTTGTCCATGCAGCCCCTCGGCGGAATCAGCGAGCAGCGCAGTACATCATTCTGATCGCTGTTGGCAGTCATGTGATCGACCATGTTTTGGACACCGGAGGCTGAGTTGAGAGACCAAGGACAAGCACAAAGTTCTGTAGTTGGATAAGGAGAAATGATTTCCTGCAAATTTCCTGATGGACGAGAAAATCCTTTTCTTCGTATCGCCGACGAAAACAGCATGGCCGGGAAATTCCAGGTAAATCAAGTTTGGTCTACGTCAGGCTCAGATCAATTCTAGTATAGAAACAAGAATAAGGAATTTCAATTTGTTCCTGGCGCAAAAATGGCTTTCGTGCATTTATGTATGTACTTCAAATACTCGTTCGGAAGCTGATCGCCCCCTTAAATCTCAAGGTGCAATCGGTACCTGATTGGAGGATCGATTGTATTGCGCCACAGATCTAAGCTCGGACTCATGACAAGGACGCGACAGGCGCCTATTAGAGCAGAGTCAACCTTCGGAGGTTAGTTCTTGAGAAGTAGATCAACACTGACTTAGGCTGGGTTCAATAGAGCCCAAAAACAGATCAGTGGTGTTACGTGAATGGACTGGATGTTGAGACACTGCCGGTGCTGGAAGGCGTTTCCATTGTTGAACCATTTCATGCTGTATACAATACCGGTTGCGATTCTGAGGTTGAAAAGTCTCTAATTAAACAAAGGAAGATGCCTTTTTCTGTCCAAAAATGGCACTTCAGCAATGGCATAACAAATTTTCCGTACACTTCTTCCAATGGTGACACATTCTGGTGCCAACATTGAGAGGTTAAATATCACGACAAATGTCAAGACGCGTATTTCAACCGGACGCGTGAGTCACGTGTATTTGTGGGCAACTTGTTGTCGCCCCTTGTGGTCCAGGGTCAAGCTATGTACTTGAAGATTGCCAGTTTCAAACGTTCAAGTCTTGAATCCGTTCATAACAATCAGGCAAGTAGACACATATGTTTGTGGAATATCTGAGGTTCACGGTAGCAACTCATGAACAATCGATCAAACCAAATGAGAGCTCAGCCAAAGTTCAGCACTAATTGAAGCTTTGAAAAAAACTTGAAATATAAAGGGAAAATGGTATACTAGGAGGACGATTACACTGCAAGCGCGTTGAGAATGGTGCTTTGGGAGAGAATATATATATCCGGTGGCTTAGAACAATGACTCGCCACCACAGAATGGCCACTTTAGCCACGTGCATACAGTGAGCCACAAATCAAGTTGAGCGGTCGAAAAAGCCGCTGCCCTTTCTTCTCATCCACCTTTACTTTTTTGTATTCACAAACGAACTCGATGAGCCAACGAGAGAGCATTCCGTTATCTGTGAGGGACAAGCCAAGTACGCACAATGACCCATCTGATTATTCTTCCTCAAAGATATGTCAT